AAAATTAAGACCGTGCTTAAATTTTTAATATGATATCAATCAGTTTTGTAGAATAAATTAATGTATTTAAAATTCTTATAAGAAACAAGACGCCAATAATTTTTAATTTGTAAAATATATTTTTTCGGGTCGAGCATTCGGGACAAATAAAAAAAATTATTCGGGATAGGGCCGGATCGGATAATATTTTAAAAAAGATTCTGGGGTGGTCCAGGCTTTAAATATTGAAATATTAGGCCAGATGCAGATCATGATCTAAACATTTCATACACTCTAGAAATTTTACTTAATCATAGTTATTGATAGAGATAAATTCAATATAAATTTTTTTTTTGGGCTTATAAAATTTTCTTATATCCATCAACCATTAGTGTTAACGGTTTAAAAAAATGTAAAATGATAAACTTGAAATATTCGTGAGATAAAATACTAATACTAAGGACATATTTAAATTAATTTTATTTAAATAAATTTTAACTATTTTCTAATAGAAATAGAATACTTTGCAATTCACAATTTATAAAAACCTCATATATTTTTCCAAAATACGCCGGGGGTGGGCGTTTCTTACTTTGCCCCCTACCCCCCTCTAGCTACGCTCAGGAATCTATATAACTACAAGTTAGGTTAGATCTTTAATAGCAAAAAAACCATTTACATGATTTATCTTTATAAATACCAGATTTTGATTGAAAATTATTTATGGGCAGTCTCCTGAGCATTTTTTAAAAATTAAGCTGATTGCCCATTTGTCCAAAAATATTTTTAACCCGCCCAATGTTAAAAAATAATCTAATGGCTGGGTTGACTCTTTATTTATTTTAATTTATTTTTTAATTAAACTTATAAAATATGCAATATTATGAAATAAGAAAATCATTTTTAATAAATAGAAGTCTGTTCTGCTAATTTCGCCCGAAAAATATTTAAAATTCACCCATCTATGGTCCACCCATTTTTAATGATATCTTTTAACCCATCCGCCACCCGCCCAGTCTTTAAAACATTTCAGCATGCATGCCCACGCCCGCTTGGAGAATGGAAGGACTGGCTAAAAACCTACTCATTGCAGACCTCTAGTCAAGACTCACGATTTATGTATTTAGTACATTAAGAAACAAAAATTACCTAGGTTCTGTTTAAAGATACAAATTTAATTGTCAATATTTTTTTCTAATGCAAACCCGAGAGTTTTCAAGCCCAAACCGAACCCACCTTTTGTTTTTTATGCCTTGAACTACCGAACGTACTCGATCCTACCCACGAAAGCTCATAATATAAACCCTTTTTGATAAATTTTTTTTTTTAAATATAAAATTCGTCTACATCCGATATGTTTTAAAAAACATTTACATCAAAGATGAAGATGAGTTTAAGGGAAAATCTTATATAAGATTCAAAAAATATTTCCTATTTTTCTATTGAGAGGGGAGGGGTGGTAACAATGGAGAGTAAAATATTCAGTCCCTTTCCATTTTATAATATTTTCCTATTCCTATTTTTTAAATATTTTGATACCGTGTGTTAATAAATTTATACTTTCTAAGATATGTAAATTAGAAATCTGCAAAGCCCAGTTAATCCCGGCCGGAAAAATTTCTAAAAAAAATTAAAACGGGCCGGGCGAGGAAAATTAAAAAAAAATTATAACGGGGTGAACCGGGCAAAAATATATGGTTGGGCAACGATGAAAAATATTTGTAGGCTGAGCGTCACAATTTATACATAAAATATCAGACAAGGTCTCTTAGATCTCTGATTTTTAGTAAAATTGTCAATAGATTTTTGATATATTTATTGAATTTCAACTTAATTATGTATTCTGATTAATTCTATTTAAAAATAAATTACAATGCTTATTTCTTTATTTTGATGCTAAATCTATAGATAATATAGTAAATTAACAAAAAAATTAATGCACAGTATTGTACAGATATAAACACAATTGATTTTACATAGAAATAAAAGTTATAAGAGCCTTAATTGACAATAGGGAAAAAAATATATATATCAAAGAACCTGTAGACCTGGCCCTAAACTCGGTTCCTTTTTAACATACAGGGCCAGGCCTAATATTTTCAATAGCCATTATTATCTATAAAAATTGAAAATAAATAAAATATATTTAAAGATTGTGGATCATAGAGCAATATATCCATTTAGGGTTGTTAAAAAGACTGATTCGTGTCGATTTTTGAAAATACCCGATTAAGATTTTAGCCAAGATAATTTTATGAGAACCTCGGATGTCCAAACATTTCTACCATCTATGAGTAAAATCTACATCATATTTTTGACTAATCTTAATCTGGTAGTTTTTAAAAACTGACCCAAGAAAATATTTCAAGTAAAATATATTCAAATTAATTGCAATTTATTTTTGGTGATATTCAATTCAATTAAAAGCAACAAAGATACACTCAGTATTTAAATACCATTTTTAAGGGAAAAATTTATTTTAGATAAGTATCATTTTATCCCTCCTTTTCTCTATCTCTAATTCAGGCAATTACCTATGTTATCAGCCTAATTGTAAGTGTGGTGATTCAAACTCACTCCTTTTACGACAAATGTGGATATAAGATAATCTGATAAATATGGATTTCGAATTCGCTGAAAAACGATCAGTAAAATGCCGAATAGGCATATTTTAATTTTTTTTTGAAAGGCTTTATGTAGAAAACAAAACACCCTGTCTGGTTTTTTTTAAGAAGAAATCGCGGAAATTTTTCTAAAAAAAGATCCGGGCTGGGCCGGCACGTGAAAATAGTACTAGTGCAGGTTTCTAATATAAATTTAAATTGTAATGGAAATTTAACGGGCAGGAGAACTTTTCGTAAAACTTTAATGGGCTGGCCCGGGTACTTTTGTAAACTTTTTATGGGCCAACCGAGAAAATTTAAAAAAAAACAATAAAGGGACGCCCCCGGAAAAAATTTTCGGGCAGGGCTGGATAGATGTACAAAAATACTTAACGGGCCGAAGCGGACAGGCATAAGCAGATCTCTAATGTGAATTTCCCCCTCTCCCAAATATATTAATCTACTATTAATAAAAATACAATATTTTTCAATATATCAAGTATTGAGGTATAGATCAAATCAAATTTTTTGTAAAATTGACGTAATACTTTTCAAAATATTAGGTATTATTAGATTATTTTTGTTTAAATTTGATGGATACTTATTAAATTTAATTTACTTTAAAAGGCTTATAAATTAAATTGCAAAAATATTTCCAATATTTTCTGGGTCAAAAAAAAGGTATAAACATTATACAATAATAATTTAATATATAAAAGCATAGGCCTAGCCAGGACTTTACTAAGGGAAGGGAGGAAAGCATTATTAGTGGGGTTTTCTCCATAAATCTAAGGTCTTTAGTCAACTTATTTTAGGCCTTTGGTTGTATTATTTTTATTAAATCTAAATTTCATTAAAAAAATAAACACAAACTTTCTATCGAATAACAAAAATATTTTTTATAAAATCTTGAAAGTAATTTAATATACGATTTTGTTAAAATTTTTATATCTATGAACCTTTTAAAACTTTTTAAAAAAATTCTAAGTTTGGACTCAACCTTTTCTATAAAATATAAAATTTTCTAAAATATTATAATTTTTTTTAAGGGGGTAATATTTTATTTAAAAAAAAACAAATTTTTCATTTACAAATTATAATTAAAAATATATATTAATAAACAAATAATATATTAAAAATGAATTAAAAAATATATATGTATAAAAGAGAAATGAGATAAAAAAAATTTTTTTTTTAAAAAGGGTACAAATCACCCTAGAGAAGAGTGAATGCTTAAAAAATTGGACCGGCAGATTTCCAGGGAAATCTGCTGACAAAGGTAAAATCCTTCATTGGGGTCCCCTGAGATCTGCCTCATTTTTTTTCCTATAGTTTTGATGAAATTGAGAGCATCACTTATTAGTTTTTTTAAAATGATTAGGAGAGACTGGGACAGGATAATATGAATATGTTGACTTGTTTTTTGTAAATTATATGACAGTTTTGGCCATTTCAGGCGGATAACTAAGAGGAAGGGGGGGGGTGCAAATTTGTGTTCTCGAAAATATAAATTTAAGCTAATAAAAATTTTCCTCCTACACTAGGAACGTATGCAGCAAGGGGAAGGAGGGGGGGGCAGGGAGACAAATCCCCTCAATCTAAAATTCAGATGCTAACTAAAAAAAATTAAAAATATTATCGCATATATATAATTTGCATTTGTTTGTTACATTACAGCAGAAATAAATACGCTACTAATTTATTCTATGAATAAATATTGATTTCAAATTTTTTTTGAAATTATATTTATCTACCAATTTAAAATTTCCCTCCAAATTATTTGAAACATTTCACTGCAAAAAGAAAGCAATATATTTTAAAAAAATGATAGTGATTTGATTTAGATTATCAGAATAGCCGAAAGCATTACATAGGAACTTAAGGAAATTGCTAAATATAGATGACGAATTTCATAAATTCATGTCATTGTTGAGTCAAAAGCAAAGCTTTGTGCATTTAATATTTATCCACGTCGACTCGCAGTAAGGAAGCCCATTCATTCAATATTGATATAGAGTCATTATAACTTTCAAAAATACTTTATAAGTTTATATACATGCAATAATGTTTAAGAATATTTTTGTGCATTAATGCATGTTTCCAACATTTTAAAATATCATTTATATCTATATATTAAACTTTAAATTAGAAAATTTATATTTACACATTTAATATTTTATCATTAATTTTTATTTCAATATTTCAATTTGTATATTATTAATTGTCAATATTTGATTATCACTATTCCTAATAAATTTCTACTCCTAGAATAATTCTAAATTTTTTAATCCCCCCCCCTCTCCATAGCGAATTTCTACATACGCTCTTGGGATAAATCATAAATTATTATATATATAAATTATAAATGTAAATCATTCCTCAGTATAATGGTTTATTGTAATTTAAATCAATGAAATGAAAAATATAATTTGTAATACGAATTCAACGTATATTTGCGATAATATTAAAAAATATTTTTTTGTTAATATACTATTTGATAATTAATTTTTATATAAGAAAATAAAAAAGCACTTTATGAAAAATTATTAAATTTACTTTTATTGCAAAAAAAAGGATTTATAAATTGAATCTTTAACGACTGCATACGATACAGGGTATCTCCCTCCCATCGTAGTACGTACTACAGGGTAAAATTCCGCACTTTGATTCAACAGGCCATAGACCGCTAGCTCCATGGTAATGTTCCTTTCCATCAATTTCAAAACCTTCCGGTGTTTCGTCCACACAAACATACTCAGCCCGAGCCTTTTCATTATCAATGGACATCAAATAACCTTTATATTCTTCAAACCATCCTTGTGGACAATGTACGTGGGCTGGTAGTATAACGTGAAGACAATGATTCCTCCTCAAGCAAACGGAACAAGCAGCTAAGTGTAAGTTAGCTGCGTTTGAGAGGAAGGGACCGCCCTCAGGGTAAAAATGGAATTGAGCTCCGTATATCTTGGATATAGTGCGACCCACCACTGCATTTGTAAAGTCTTTGCCCTGAATACGATTTGGTAGACAGATGTAGTTAAATCCACCTCCTGTTTGTTTATTGCTACCTCCGGCTACTTTTCCTATACATTTTTATTTATTTATCAATAATGTGTATTTGTGTATACAATCTTTTTGATAGCAAAAAATAATTAAGATTTAATACATTCTAGATTTATAAAAATTATAAAATATTTAAATTTCAAATGTATAGGCAAAAAATTATATGAGATATAAAAATATGGATCAATTTTATAGGTTATATATAAATATTTACCACTGTAAACTATGATGGCTCCCTCTGGACATGCAGTTTGTCCCCATCTAGTAAATACAGTACCACTGCATTCATTAACAGCTTTAGACGCTAAATTTTAATATTTAAGATGATTTCAATACTTTTTTGATTAAATGATTATTAATATATATTTTTTAAACCTTGACATGCTATTTCGATACAAGTTCCAGCTTGTCCAGGTTTACCCGTTTCACCTGGATTCCCAGGTAAACCTCTAGCCCCAGGATCTCCTTCAGGTCCTTGAGGCCCCATCAAACCTTGAGAACCTTCCTGACCAATTGGTCCTAATATTAAAATGTTGTAATGATGATCACACCAATAAAAATTTAATTTTCATATATAATGTATGATACAAAATATGTAATAGAAGTACTATAGAAACGGCTAATATTAATTTAAAAAAAGAAAGGATAAACATAAATAAATAAGTCAATTGTGTTCCTAAGAAGAAATTATAATTTGCTTAATTTTATTTTTTTTTTGATAAAAAAAATTATTTGATTACATTGACAAAATGTCTTATAACCGAAATGTTTTAAAAATTTGATAATAATTGGTGAAAAATTGTCATTAGCTGATATTTTTATTTAAATAGAAATGAAATTATTCAGAATATTGAATTTGTTTTTTTGCTTTCAATCAAAGTTTGAAGGTACAAATTGATATTTGATGGTAATGAATACATACATGTATAATCCCAAATTAAAGATTTTCTTGACTCCAAAGAGATTTTACTGAAACAATACTAGACCGTTCTCAGGAAATAGTTTGTAAGTTTTATGTAATTAGAAATCGAAGCAGCTATTAAGGCTCGATTTATTAAGTGAGCACTGAACACTAGAGGCAGCTAATAACGTATCCTTCCTTTAAGTATATTTACTAGTTACATGTGATACAAGTATTTTGTTATTGAACAATTTCGCAGCCTAACTGTAAGCCAAGGGCAACTCTTTATTGTTCTTATCTGGTAAAAGATGTAGTAGCTATAGCCGTTTATGCTCTCTGATTTTGTCCTTGGTGGGTTAGCAAATATGACCGATTGAAAGTTATCGATCAATTGTCGTATATTTCCTTATGCTATGACTAAAAAATGAAGTTTAGGAAGTGTATAATCTTTTATTAGTAGCGTCATTCGATAATTGGTTAGAAGAGCATATGAATCCTGATACTAATGAATATTTCATTAATCTGGAGGATATGAACAAGGATAATGCAAGATATTGAAGGAGAAAAATTAGATTTCCAGATCCCCCCCCCCCCCAGACACATTTTCTAGGTTTAATATATGTTCTCTTTTTATCCCTATTTCGTCTTGAACATCCCCGAATTAGTTTAAATGTTGTGGGGTATGGCATATTAAAGAATATACTATTATAAATCGATAATTTGTCTTCGATCCATGTAATCCCAGGAAAATCTCGTTAAATATGAATGCATATTACTTTTTTTCAATAATGAATTTATAGGATTTTTTTAAATATAATTGTCCCTTTGTAATTCATACATGATAAATTAATTTAAAAATAGGGCTGTGCTGAAAAATAATTTAGCATCATTATTTATACTCTATATTAATATTTAAAAAAAACCATCAGATCCTGCGTTTCCTGGTCTTCCTTTAGTTCCAGGCGAGCCCCGATCCCCCGGCTCGCCATCCAATCCTAGAGATCCAGGTGAACCATCAATGCCGGGCGGGCCGGGCAATCCTTTTTCACCAGGATCGCCAGTTTCTCCTAAATCCCCAGGACGACCATCTAAACCTGGGTTGCCTGGAAAACCTTGCGGTCCTGGATTACCCTAATAAACATTTTTTTAAAAATAATATTGATTAAATCAATTAAATTAAAATTAGTTCGAATATCATTGCTTGATATTATAGAGTTCATCTTCACTTCTAGTCGAAATTGAAATTGGGCATATTTTTATAAATCAAATAATAGTTTTAAGAGCGCTTACAGGAGGACCTGGTGTAAAATTAGGTTGGCCGTCTTTGCCTGGTGTTCCAGGTATTCCTTCAGTACCATCTTTACCATGACTCCCAGGTGTGCCATCTGCTCCATCTATACCAGGCGGACCTGGAGGACCCTATGAATATTTATTTGTAACAGATATATAAATGAATCTCAAAACAATTATAAATCTAATTTTTTAAGTTCTTTTTATATATATATATATAATAATAATGATTTAAGATGCTTTCGAATTATTGATATGAATCTATTATCAAATAGTATGATTTATTGGCAATCTTAGAAAATTCGGCCTTAATAGTAAAAATTACCTTTGGTCCAGGGTTGCCAGGTCTACCGTCTCTTCCTGCTCTTCCGGGAATTCCGTCAAAACCATCTCTACCGGAGTCTCCTGGTTTCCCGTCTTTCCCATCTCTACCAGGATCACCTGTTCTTCCCTTTACACAAATAAAATTTTATTGTTGTAAAAATTTAATATCATAGGGTTATTCATATTTATATTAAGCTTTTATTCATAAATACTTTTAAATCTAAACAATACCAGTTAAGGAATGAAGAAGTTTATAAATATGAATTAATTCTCAATTCTTATATAGATATTAATTAGTTATGAAACAATTATTCAAATTATACTGGTAAGCCATCTCTTCCAGGGGTTCCGTCTAAACCCGGTTTCCCTGGTAGACCATCTTTTCCTTTTTCTCCGTGGATACCTAAACGTCCATGATCAGAATCATCTCCAGATTCGCCTGAATCTCCCTATAATAAAGAAGGGAACTAAAATCAATTTTAATTACTAGAAAAAATTCCAATTATCATGAAAAGATAGCAACTTCTAATGTAGTATTAATAAATTTTTAATTAAAAATAATAATCTTACGATCATAAAAATATATCTTATTAAAAATTAAATTACTGGATCTCCTAGTTCGCCTGGAAACCCATCTTGACCAGGAATTCCATCCGATCCTGGCCGACCGTCACTTCCAGGTGCCCCTGGTCTACCGTCTTTGCCTTCCAAACCTGTATCTCCAGGTGGCCCCTAAATGTTGTAAATTTATATCATATTTTAGATTAAAATATCTTGAAATTTAAGGTCATTATTAATTAGTTAAATGAATATTATTAATAAGATAATTGTAAATAATATCATTTTTTAAGTTATTAAAACTAAAGATCATTTTAACATTTTCTTAAATAAATGCTAGATTACGTGAAGGATATAATAAAAAAGGTTTATTTATTAGAAGTATTGCTTAAAGATCTGCAATAGACGGGCCTTTAGCCCGCCCTTTTTATGGGCTGGCGTGGGCAGAGTTAAAAGATATTAACACTGGATGGGTGAGCAGGCGGGTTAGAAATTTTTCTTAGAACAATGGACGGGTGAATTTAAAATATTATTGGGCGGAATGAGCAGGATAGACCTCTATTTATTAAAAATCTATTTTATAATATTGCTTAAATAAAAATATATTAAAATAAAATAAATGGGGTGAATTTTAAAAAAATCTATGACCATGCAAGGGAGGGGGGGGGGGAGCGAGCTGGTTAAATTTTTTAAAATAATAGGCGACCGGGCGTTCTGGTTATAACTCTTCAATTGTAGACCTATAGTATTATTACTATTACATATATAAAAACAAGGGTCTCTCAATAAAATATATTTCATATTTAATAGATCTGAATTAAACTGAAATACCAAGAAGAAGGATCAGTAAACGCTCAGAATAAATAATAAAATGCTAAGAAAAAATACAAATTAAAAAAACTTAATTGCTACAAAAAAAATATAATTACTAAAAATATATTATTAGATTGGTATATAAAATCTTGAGAACTAGTACATTAATTGCTAATAAATTAATAGTAAATAAAATGTCTCCATCCTCCACCATGATCCCGTGAGTGATGATTAATAAAGCAACCAAAAACTTAAATTTCACTAAGACTGACTCCTTAAAACTTAAATTCTTCTATTAAAAATGTTAAGTAAGTAATGTAAAGAAAATAAATTAATAAATAAACAGTTGAGTTAAACGCGCTTTAAAAGAAAATTAAACATCAAATGAATTCTTACTGGTTGAGCATTTATTCTGTTAACTTCAAAAAAATTTCGCCTTTCAACATATTTAAATTCTGAGCATTGAATTACAGTTTTTTATCCTTAGCGAAATAATATGTTTAAAAATTAAAATTACAGGTGTAATAGAGTCAAGTCCTGATTTACCATCTTGACCTGGCTCACCTGAAGAGCCATCAATACCCGGCAATCCATCTTCACCAGGAGGTCCCGGAGTTCCATCCCCACCTGGTTCACCTGGTTCTCCCTAAAATAATATAATAAATAGATATAAATTCCTTTGATTGTGATTTGGTATCTAAAAAAACTTTTTTTTTGTAGGGGAGATCATAGCTAGCTGGCGCAAGGGGCTTATCGGTTCAACGGATTTTATTTAAATACCAGACATGTTTCGAAATTCAAATTTAATTATGCAATAGCATTGTATAATATGAATATTTGATGAGATATTTTATACCTCTCAGCTATTAAATTATTTTATGATAAAATGTGTTTTTTAGGTAAAAATCAAAAAGTTTTTACATCACTAGGTCGCATTAAAATATGAAGAGTTTAAAAATAATATATTTGACATTATATGAAATTTAAAACACGCTTTTCGTATTTCAGAAAGTTTCTTAATCATATATCATGTTTAAATATATTTCTAAAATATATTGATTATTTTAGTAACTAGGTGCTAGTAGAATCAGGGCTAGTCGGATCAATCAAATTTTGCATACAATATAATATATTATATTGTATGATATAAAATAAGTTTATAGGCCAATATTATATATATATATATATTTAAATCAATTCTATATGATGACTACAATAGAATTTAGAAAAAAATCAAAAAAATTTATTAAAAATTTTACACATTTTTTATAATTCACATAATGTATTTTGTCATTTTATATGAATAATTTTTATGTACATGGTATATTATATAAATAAAACATTGTCCATGAAAATAATGGAATAATAATATTAATTATCCTATGGGAGACTTAATTAAATATTGAATCTACAAGCCCTAGGTCTGGGGCTTGTTGGTGTAAAAAATTACTTTTACTAGAATCAGGCGCGTACGCAGGAATTTGGTCTGGGGGGAGGGGGGGGGAATAATAAATTTTTTAAAGAAATATTATTGTTATTTAAAAATATCAAGCAAAAATTTATTAGGACTAATAACTATTTCTAATAAACAATTTTAAATTATATGAATTATAAAAAAATTATATAATTTATTTAAAAATATCCGGGCCGGGCCTGAAAAATTTAATTTAAAAAAAGCCGGGACAAGCCTAAAAATTTCTTTAAAAAAAACCCGGGCCGGGCTGAAAAAAAATTTTGAAAAAAAAATCCAGGCCCTGCCTTGCAAATTGTATCTCTGCGGGGCTCTGTTATTCTTCTTAAAAAAGAGAGTGTTCTCTCATTAGTTTACTAATGGGAAGAGTTGCTAATATATATATAATCATTTTAATACATTGGGAATAAAATCTAAAATGTGTTGGAAATTATACAAAGTATCCATAGCATTTTTTGGGACTATATCTTATTTAATCTTTTAAACATAGTTATTCAGCGAATAAGGCATCAAACAAATATTATTTTTTTCCTATCACCATCTGAAAAAGATTGGGAAGGCTTTTGTGGAAGTAATATCTGTAGATTGGCAAGTGCTGCATGATGAATTAAAAACCATTCATTTATTTGGATTATAGTTTTATAATACTTTTCTACTGATCTTATACTAATGTTTTGATGATGAGCTTGCCTTGCTGCAAATCGAGTGAGACAAATATTAAACACATATAGCTCTCCTTTTGACTCAACAATAACATATAAAATTGAAATTCTTCATCAACATTAGCCCTAATTTCCTTGAGTTCTAATGAAATGCTCTCCGCTATTCTCATCTTCTTAATCAAGTCAATGCCATGTTTTTGAAAAGTATTACATAAAATAGTTGTATAATTAAATAATACATTCTAATGAGAAAAAAATTGAAATAAGTATTGAATCCAATAATTTTCTTGCTTCTGAGGAAATATTTCTTTCAGGCCATTGTGATATTTCAGTAATTTAATAATCGGTTCTTCTAACTCCATAAAAGCTGTTACTGCTTTATGGCGGAGACTCCATCTCGTTGGACAAGCTTGCACTTTCTTTCTCTCTGTTGGACAAGGAGTTTCAGAAAAATTATTATTTGACTAGAAATATGAAAATTGTAGATAAATATTACGCCACTAGAAATTTGAAAATAATAGTTAAATATTACGCCAATGAAAACTTGAAATCAAAATTAATTGATAAAATAACTTAATAGATGAATGTGATAAATAAATGTAATATATATTTAATATGAGATAGGAATAAATATTAACAAATATAAATTAATATAAATTAATATAAACATTAATATTTCTGAAAAATATATCCGACATCTGCATTTTTTGGTTTTGGGAGGGGGGGGGGGATTTGTCCCTCTGCCCCCCCCCGCTGCGTACGCCAATGGTTTGGCTATCTTATTCTATTTTATAAATTTAAACATAACAATTATTTTAGGATCTATGATGATTTTGACAAATATTGCACCAACTAACTCTGGTAGTATATAATGTTAAATCGCTCCACTTGAGCCAAAAGGCTACAATATATAGCTGAAAAAATTACGCAAAAAAGGCTTTGCATATCCTTTTAGGGTTATGCCTAGAGGTTTTAATATAAAAAACATCGTTACAGTAATAAAAAACCATTCAGAATATTATTTCTTATAATTTAAAAAAATTCTTTTGTCTTGATAATAACTAACTGGAGTTCCAGGGCTTCCAGAACGTCCGTCTATACCAGGTAATCCATCATTTCCATCTCGCCCATTGGAACCAGCCTCACCTTTTTCTCCATCTTTTCCCGGTGACCCATCTAACCCAGGGGCGCCCTTTATAAATAGAATTTTACGTAAATAAATGAATGTTAACAAAATAGATCTATGCTTAAATATTTAATTAATTTTAGATAAATTTAATTTAATTTAATTTATTTTAAAATAAAAATATTTAATGCTACATCATTCCCGTCAATTCCAGGTTTCCCATCTGAGCCAGGGCTACTATCTCTACCTGGGAATCCAGGCTGCCCATCTCTTCCCGGTCGACCAGGTTGACCGTCAGACCCAGGATTTCCAGAATCTCCCTAGTTTTATTTTTTTCATATTCATAGAAATAAAAAAGTGATATGATAGAAATAAATTGGGTGTGTAATAATGTAATAATAAACTCTATAAAATTTATACCATAGAATTTAAAATAACTTAAAGAATCGTAATAGTTTAAGTCGGTCATTTTATATCAAACATTATTGTTTACCCTTTTTCGCAAAAATTACTTCAAAGATTAAAGATTATTTGACCGCAACCATTTTAACCCCGATCAACTAGATTATCAGTGATAAATAAAAATTTCTGACAATATCCATATCATTTTCCCCATCAATCCAGTTTTCCCATTGTTGCTATTATGCAACATGTACTATTTCAATTTCATGTTAAAAAAATATCTTTCACTACCTAATCTTTTTTAATAAGGTGCTCCCTCTGATTTTTTTTTGCAACTACATTAAGGGAAAAGGAAAAAAATAATTTCATTTCCTCAACAGCATATTAATTGCGGCTTTTAGATAAAGTTTGAATATATTCCAACATCTCTTAGGGTCTTTCTAAACAAGACCGTTATTTTGTTCCGTTTAGTTAGTAAGTTAAACCATAAATCATTTATCTTCCTTATATTATTTTTGTTTTCTTCCCCTAATATATCCCTAATTCAATTTAATAAATGTTAAGTAACCTTCATCTAGCCTTTTTATATTTCGTATGAATTGCTTCTATAATGGGAGAATCCTGTTATACCCTCTATTTCTATATTTTTGTCACTATCTCAAAAATGTTTGGATCTAATTGAAATACCTCATTTAATTGTATTCAACGTATACGTTTCTTGGCTACAAATTTTACCTATATTATTCAAATTGTGGCTATTAGCTTTCGCTTTGTATGATTATCCTACCCTAAAACTTCCTGATTCTGTTAACAGATAAATAATAAAGATATGCAATAAACCTTTGGCTTAACTATGATCTCAGCGAGTTATATATTTTTTAAAATCAACCAGATTCTAATGTAGAAGAGACATCACGCGCGTTAATTTGTAATTCTATTTAATCATAAATTCAATCTTCGTTTACCTCACCAATTCATTTTTATTTCTTATTTTTGTTATACCTTCGGTAGCCAGATTAAGGTACGGCAAATAAGTAGCAAACAGATTAAAATATTCTTATTTATTTTTTAATGGCTCTCTTTGGCTAATATTTGATTAATTTGGCTTAAATTATTCCCTTGATTAGTTTCCCTTTCTTTAAACATTGTGTTTTTTTCTTTCCTTTTTTAAATTATAACAATTTGTGTATATAAATATCTTACTATATATTTATATTTTAAAATAAATTATAACTTTATATTTATATTTTTAATAAAATAAACCAGCACTAATTGGAATGTTAATAACATATAAAATTACTTACTGGATCTCCATCTTTGCCAGGTATTGCATCTATGCCCTGTGGGCCGGGATTTCCATCTCTTCCAGGAGGGCCTTCTCTGCCAGGTGGCCCGGGGTAACCATCTCTTCCAGGTGTTCCCAAACTACCAGGACCTCCTTGTATACAACATTCTAATTTTCAAAAATTTAATATTTTTTTAATTACCAATCGAGAGATAATAATATTTAATGAATGAGATCTTAATTAATGTTTTAAAATAAGTTTCGATATTTTTATTGCTTCGAATATTTAGTATAATTATTTTATAAAGAATAAAGATAACAAATGAAGCTTTTCAAGAGATAAAATCTTATATTAACCTTTCTGTCCCTGAGGTGCATCTGTTTTATATACACCAGGATAAAAACGTTTAGATCTTTTAAGTGTAGAATCCTTATTTTTGGCGTTTATATTATTCAAGAATCCTTGAGTGAGATATCTTTTCTCAATTTCATCATCATGGTCATGGTTTTTTGCCATCAAATCCATGTCGTTCTATTGTATATTATTTTTTATGATATTATTATATTTCAAAATTAATTATCAAATTAAAAATATTTTATAGTTCTATCTATATTCATAATTAATATTATTTTTAATGATAACTTTTAAAAACAGTAATCCGGTATTGAGTTGGTACACTTGACTCTTTTTCGAACGAATTTCGTCTACCAAATTTGCCACCTTTTTCTCGTGATCAATCTCCATTTGATCCAATTTTAGATAAAATATAGGCAAGATGAGGCAAAATCCCAAAGTGCCAGCTAAGATATTTCCCATCAAGAGAGATTTGCAAAAGGATTTAATATCGCTTTTCAATTTTTTCCTCCTTATGTGGCTAGAATTGTCTGAACTATTTGATTCTTGGTAACTATGTGACTTGGACATATTAACATTTTTTGTCAAATTGCTTGAAGCTTTTAATAAAATGAAAGAATCGGGTATTTCTAATAATGAAGGAGATTTCTGTCTTCCATCATTTAAATTTTCTTCTCCCATTTGTAGGAATTGTTTAAAATAAAATTTTGAAAAATAAAATTATGATTATTTATAGAAATTTGATTTTTTAAAATTTATATATTGTTTTATAGAAAATTTTTATTTTTTTTTCTCTTTTCAATAATTAGAGCATATCTTATAAATCTACAAATCCTTTAAATGATAAATTTCACTATTTTATTTTATGTCATTTTTACCATATTAAGGTACTAATTAATATAAAATGATGAAATTAAAATTAATTGTGTCAATAGCAAATTCTTCTTTATAACGCCACAAAAGAATTATTCTCCCTTTTTATTTTTTTGTAATCATTTTCCTATTCACTTTTTTCGCTTGCATTTTCTATAATAATCATATTAATTGGGTTAATCAAAACATCATAAATAAATTTAATATCATACATCATAAAATGCACTAGTGCCGCTGGATGTTTAGTAATAAGTCTAACCAGGACACACACTTAATGCTGCATCCAAAACTTGTTTTAAAATTTTATAACTTCAAGAAAACCTGTTGTTAAAGTAATAAAAATTTCATAAAATTTAAAAAAATATATTTTGGCCATATTTTTTGATTTTCTGTGAAAAAAGCTTATTTCGTGTTAGCGATTAAGTTTTTGAATCAATTTTTTTTAAGCGCTTGTAGTGTTGTATACATAAATCACGATTTATACATTTTTAAAAAACCGTGAAATCAAGATTTTAGGGAAAAAAATTACCAGCCTCAAGATTTCACTTAGAGATGGCAAATCGCTTTCTTTTGACCAAATCTCAGAGTTTTGGTAATTTATTTGGCTAAAATCTTGACTTAGGCGTCGTTTTTATCGGAAGCCCCTCTTTATCGGCTAAATCAAAACTTTATAAAACGAGAAGCGCGGTTTGTAACAATAAGCGCAGACTTAACAAAATATAAAAACTTTTTTAAAATTAAACTGCAATACTCAAATACTTTTTCTATTTAAAAATATACTCGAAAAATGTATTTCAAAACAATGTTATTTTATTATGCAAGCAAGTTTATCATGTCTACAAGACACCAACATATTAATCAATAATATTCATAAAAATATTAATAAATAAAAAAATATATGTAGCCCGTCTTTTCTGGCCAATCGATAAAGTACATTTGTGTTTAAATGACCTTTAGCATCCACAGAAATTAAATGTTAAGGTCCATGCCATTTGTAAAAAATATAAGTACTAGAAAATATATCATGCGGTATAATTTTTATAAATTCTAACAATAAAAATACAGTATTTTAAATATTTAGTTCTCTATAATAATAAGTCCATAGCAATCGGACATAGGACAAAAATATATTAAATTAATGTTCTTCTTCTTTATCATGTTAAATCCCAAACCTAGTTGGGGTCTTTAAAATGTGTTCATCCTTCTATATGGCTCGGCTTTGGAAATGTTCTTGTGGATTTGAGAAATTCAAGTTAGTTGCGGCCTGCCTCCAGTTCATTAACCGATAATTTCAAGATCAAAAACTCGCTGATTCACATTAATTGATTCTGTCAGCATAATCTCCGTCTGTTCTCATTCCGACAATAGCTTGATAAAACCTAAACTCCTTCGGATCATTCGCATTTCAGTTATATACAGCATTTTCTTCTCGGCTGTTTGCAATGCCCATGTTTTATACCCATTTAACAAGACCGGTCTGACGATGGTCTTGTCAAAAAACAACCCTGATATGCTTTTCCATTTCATCCAACCCTTTTTCCTGGAGTTGACCTCGTCATGACAACCTCCATCTTAATGTATTGTAAATCCAAGATAGCTAAACTTTTCAATTTTCGGGTATTGAGCAACTTGCATAGTTCCTTGACACCGATCTGCAACTTTTTTGCCAGATATATTGTGTAAGAAGAGCTGAGGCGGAGGCCATATTTCTCCAACCTAACTGCACAAGTACTTGCCTGCTGTACTGTCATTTCGGTTCTCGTATATCACGATGTTATCTGCATACAACGTAGATCAAGGTGTTTGCTTCTGCACGTTCTCAATTATAGTATCGAGGAAGAGAAAGGGGCTTAACGCTGAGCCTTGATATAGCCCAATTTCTATACGAAAAGACCTTGAATCTACACATTCTTCTAACCCTTGAAACGGAACCCTTGTACATAGCCCTCCGCTTTTGCACATGCACCACCAATATCAGATTTCTGGGTATGACATCTTATACCTTTCCTAGGTCTATGAACCCACATGCAACTCCTTCCTTATCTCCCAATATTATTCCATCAATGTTCGTAGGGTAAAAATTTGATCAGGAACAGCCTTGTCCAATATTATATAAACTAGTAGAAAGCCCGTCAAAAATGACGGGGAATGAGATTTTTATTCATTTTTTACGATAGATGTCATGCCAGGTTCAAGCTCAGAATATTAGGAAGCATCCAAGATCTTATAATTTTAAAAAAGTTTATCAAGCCCAGCTCAACCCTTAATAATTTGTAAAAGATATTCCCAAGTCAGATGCAAGCTAATATTAATTTTGAGGTTCCAAGCCCAGTCCTACCCATTATAATTTTGAAAATTTTTTCCCGCCTCGGAGATAGTTAAATTTTTAATATCATCACATGAACGGGAAATATATGATTTACCTATTAGTCTAATATGGAAAAAAAATATGTAAATTCCGTATTAAGGGAAACTGGGAAGGCCTGGGCAACCACTTATTAGAGAATCATGACAAATAAAATAAAAGTAACCGACTCTTATACTTTTTTGTAATATGATCAATATCTAAAAAATATGTTGTTTATTATATAGGGTTATTGTTGTTTTTCAGATAAATTTAATGTATGTCATGCATTTCTGAAATTATTTGTCAAAGAATTTGATAAGGGATACATATTTTTTTATGTTAAGTAAAAAAAAAAATTCTGTCTATTTAAATTACAAAAATGTCATTAAACACTAATGAAACTTATATGCAAATTATTTATATATTTTTTAAGATATTTTTTTTTATTGACATATAAATTTCAATGACATAGTCATTGATAAATTTAGGATAATTTTTTTAAAAAATAATAAGGATTATTTATTATGTATTTGATAAAATTAAGAGCAAATCCTTGTTGACATTTTAATTTTTGATGGAAAAAGCGACAAAATAAATCTGGGCGGTCGTTTGGAGAGGAAATAATTAATGTATAATTTTATATCATTTAGGGTTGTAGATGAAAGTGATGACGGATTAACAAAGCAGTGTACAAAACACATTACGTCCTGATAAAGATAATATGCCTATGCCTTGGGATACTGGTAAAAGAAGAACGCAAAATGATATTTCTGTCAAAGTCAGCATTAGTATCCCCTTCTAAAATAGAATCTTGAACAACAATGTTAACTCATCCATAAAACGGTCGTAAGTATTGTTTTAAAGGCCACGACAGAACTACTGCATATTTTTCCATTAATAAAGTTGATGAAATTGGCCGTACTGTACATTCAAGTTTGAACATTCCTCTAAATATTCATGAAAGTTTCTCAGAGAATCGGATAAAGTAATATTTATATTAACTCCTAGTAAAGTGAATGATAGTACAGAATTAAATGTATATATTTGTTAAAAAAATAGGCGGAGGCATAAGGACTGTGGTAGTGGTGATAGTATAATTTGGAGAACTGGGTGAAAATAAAATAAACATAGATAAAGACATAAGATAAAAAAAACAAAATAAACCTCCAGATCAGTTCATTTCAAGCGTAGTTCTTTATTATTTTGTCTACCAGTAACTCTAGAACGGGTAAGGTGTTTGTTTAATCGTCATTATTTTCTTTGCTTATCTTTAATAATAGATTCATCATGTTTTGTAGCAATGTGAGGGATTAGGGTTAGCCTAGAGAAATAAAGAAATCAGGCAAAAATATAAATAAACCATTGTTGAAATTAAACAAACATTAAAATAATGTAAAACCGGTAGATGGGTCAATATTAGATGCATATTTCTAGTAGTTGGAGAGCTATCATCAAAAAATTTTTGGGGGACTTATCAAGCCTATTATGATATTCTAAAAGTTAAAAAATAACATGAAGAATGTAATGTTATTAAGATTATGGTTAATTAATTGTAAGGTAATTAAAAAATAAGATTAAAAAAGGAGGGGAAAAAAGAAGGTATAAATTATTATATTATGAAAATAATAAAAATTAAATTAAAGGAATTGATAAGGTTTTGAGAAATAATGGTTAATAGATAATAGAGATAGAAAGAAAAGAATGAGATAATAAAATTAGTGATAAATAAATTCATTAAGGGAAGGGAAAAAATAAAGAAAGAGTTATTTATAAGGATTGGAGATTATAAATAGGTTAGGATAAGAATATTTAAATATACTTGGCTATCTTCTTAATTATTGGTTATGAAAGAAAAATATGAGTATAAAAAATTGTAATGCAAGTACTGACAAATATTGTGAGTATGTTCAAAATAAATATACAAGCTGAGTATCTTGTAGAGATTTCATTAATGTGTAATTGATAATATGAGATGGAAATTGATAAGGTAATCTAAAAAGTAAAGAAAGGATTAAGTGAAATAAAAAGTTTTATTCATATTTACAAAGTTGATGGAATATTGTTTTTATCAATTTAAAGACGATTTTTCAAATCTCTCAATCCATGTTAGGTATGTGTACACCATCAATTCTCGAAATTCCATTCATATGTTTGTATAAAATAAATAAATACGTACCGATGACATGACGTCACGATGACGTAGTGAGGACATCGGAAAATTATAATATAGATAGGTTGAAAAACCCATTGGTCAAACTTAGAATCAGTGATGCAATGATACCAACTTTTTAGACGATACTGGTTCTACCGATGCCAAAAATAATATTAATATATTTATTAAAAAAGTCAATATTTATTTCATTATATATTATAATTTATCCTTATGATATTTATAATTAATTTATGAAATAAAAAAGAAATATTTAAGATGGCCTTCTTTCTTTCTGATTTATCGATTTTAAAAATTTTATATTCTTTTTTTATAAATTCGTAGCTTGTGTATTGGCCATTAATCGTAATCAGGGATGGGGGGGGCTAACCCCCCGGGATATTTTTAATTTTTTTAGTCCTATTTCCAAATTTTGAGGAGGGGCTGAGCCATCCCCCTCCCCCGTCAAAAAATTCCCATATTTTTACAAAAGTGTTAAATTTGATTCCCTCTTCTTCTTATTATGTATATTATAAATTAAAATTTTTATATATTCAAAAAATTTAATAAATACATTTACATAAGGCATAAAAAAATTAACAAAATAATCCAAAATTCCATATTCATAGCCTATGTTCCTTCATATCTAGAACCGCGAGATACCTTATATATTAATAATTTAATACCTGATGGCATACTTTAATTCCCTGTGATATTGGAATTTTATGTGTATTGATATTTTTGTCCCCAATAATAATTAAGCTCCATTGACGAGAAAAGAAAATTAATATTCACATCTATCCAAAAATCAAAGTATTCATACCAATAATCATGGTATCAACAAATTGTTCCTTCGGAAAACAGGCTAAATTTCTTATCAAATAAACAACTATTTCAAGAGCCATTTTGATCAAACAAAAGAACAGCTTTGAAATGTTACCTTGTAATTTTAAAGAATCCTGGCGGTCACCAGATCAGGGTAACTCTTTTTAATTTCCTTTTTTTTAAAATAATTTTTAATGTGCATTTTAAATTATTTTGAAAAAATTTTCGGCTCAGCCCAAGTTTTATATTTCCAGCCCCGGCCAGGATTTTTTTAAAAATATATTATATTTATTTAAAATTTTTATAACTAATAATGGCGATTTAAATATTTGGTATTAAAATATATGGCCAGGCCTTGGTATTTTCTTCAGTGTCCTTTTGCCAATTAACCATTTTTTTATAAACCGATATATAAAAAAATATATCATTAAGAACATGTTGACAATAATATAATTAGCGTTTACATGACAGAAAATTTATTGGAGGCAAACACCCTGCATAATTCATTCCACAAAAATTTTTTATTAGGCGATGATATTTACCCACCTATTATGCTTTAACAACCCCCTGATAATAATTTTAAAATATCTTATAAGCCACCATTTATAACCTCACAACAATCTAATTAAACCCTTTCAGGCCGCCTCATAATTATTTAAACTAGGAATAACAAATAATCATTAGTTGGCGATAATCAACTAGTTATTACCAGGGATCCAAACCGAAACGAATATCGGTTTGGTTCGGGTTAGGATAAAAATAACGGTTCAAGGTTCAGGTTCGGTTCGTAAAAAAATAAAATATCGGTTCGGTTCGTACCTCTAAAAACCGGTTTGAACACTTTTGTATTCAAACCTACATATCGAATTATGTATAGGGAAAATATTTTTTTATTTTATCATAAATTTAAAAAACACATGTATAAAACCTTCATTTTTATTAATTGCACATTATAAAATAAAATTTAATTTATAAATATATATATCAATGATTAATTTTAATATGAACAATATTCTACTTTTTTTTACTTAATTTTTTTTTAATAAGCCGCACAATTAATATATTTTCAAAATTCGTCTAACTCAAATTACATCTATAGTATAAATTCAATTGTTGAAACAACTTTCTTGGGTAGCCGGCACTGCCAATATGATATCAGATTTGATGTGTCATTTATAATAATATTTTGGATTTAATTTTTCTTTAAGCATTATAATTTATAAGCTTAAAATATTTTAAAAATGTTGTAAAATGACAATATACTAAAGTTTATAAAAATTATGACCGACACTTATCAATCAAATGTGATTGATGATAATCTTTAAAATTATTCGAATATAATTGAGATCTAATAATAACTTACATATTATTTTATAAGCATTAAATCATGAGACTCGAACAGGTTCAGAGGCGTTTTAGCGGTTCGGTACAGGTCGGCTGGGATTTTTTTAGCGGTTTAGGTTCGGTTCGTTAAAAAATACCGGTTTTTAGCGGTTTAACGGTTTGGTTATCCCTGGTTATTACTAACTGTATTCTAAATATTAGCCATTTCAAACTAAACTAAAATATTATATGTGAATGAATGAGAAATAAATATTTGTTAATAAATAAAAAATTTATCATTTATTTTTATCATTAATCTACAAATAGTGCTACATTTACTTTTCCCTAAATCCCTCAAAAAAATTGGAGGCGAATCGTTCCTATTCCCCCCCTCCTCTCATGTCGCTGTATTAATAAAAAAATGTACAGATGTCGCTTGATTCAAAATTTTTATTTTTATTGAAATATATACCATTATAAATAATCCAAAACTAGTAGGAATAAATAGATCAACTTCTTATAATTTCTTTAGAAAGCATAATGCAGTCCCGTCTAATAGATAGCTTAGAAAGGGTAAAATGACTAATAAATTTTAATAAAATTACTTTAGAAATTCTTTCCGATATATTCAAAAATAATCAAGAGAAATTAAATGCGCGATTTGACGAAAAGCAAATAAAAAGTTCTAATGAAAAATTCCTTAACCGTGTTGATATTTTATCCCACTGCCAAGTGTTAAAAGGACTTTCATTTTATTATTTTGATCGTGGCAGATAGAAGAAAGAGTTTAAGAGTAAATAATTTTTCAAATTTAATGTTCAAATATAGTGGACCTTCGATATTGGAATGGATTCTTTTAAAAATATGCTAATTTTATGAAAAAGAAAGGATGATGACGATGAGAAATATTTCTGATATCATAATTTGATTGAAAATCAAACTAAATATTGTTTTGCATTATTTTAAATTTGAATGTATAAAAATAATCAACAATATTTTTGAATATTATATTTGTGCGTATTTTGAAATTTAATCGATCATTTTAATTTTAAAAAAACCTAATCTTTTTTGTAAGCATATAATTCTAAATAAAACTCATAAATTAAAATTATTATAATTTCCAATTGTGTTCGAAAGGAAATTATGAATGTAAACGAATATAAATATTTTTTTATTATGTAGCGTCACAAATTAATACATAATTTTTCACAGCTTTGGGGAAAAATATTAAGAATGAATGTTGAGAATCTTTCGGTTCCCTTCACCATAGCTCAAATTCAAATCACAACAAATTTAGGTAGTATCATCGTATCCGTATCGATCGTTAGCGCTGGCTATATGACTGCCCACGTGACCCCAAAACCATCTTAGGAGATCGTTTCCATTTTCATCCGATCCACTCGGCTCAGCGGACGATTCAAACAGATACCTATTGAAAGGGTCAGGGTTAAGTCGATCCAAGTTATCACCGCCATGGAAATTATTGATGAGCGAGAGACTGTCTTGGTCAAAATTCTGAACGTGTTTGTATTTTATTTTAACGAAGTTATATTTAAATTTTATATAGTATGTGAATTTGTTAAATCGATATCAACATATTCCAAGCAGAGAAAACCAAACGTCCACCCTATCTTTTATTCTTAAAGACGCTATATCGGGAAAGGATTAGCCCTGAAGACACTCAATCAGAATGGAACGCATCCAGGGCTGTCTTCGATATAATAATTTTAATTAGAATATAATATTTTTCTTATTGACAATACTTTATTTTATATTCATTATAAAATAAAACATAATACTTTATAAGAACTCGCTAAATATGGGGGAGATTTTTAAATATTCGTTATGAAATATCCTCTATTTTTAAGCTATATATATTTTTAAGTAAATTGAAATATAAATTCCATAACATTTAACAATATTATTTTAAAAATTATTGAGAACAAATAAAAAATATTCAATTTTAGCGATTTTTGTATTGACGATTTCGAATCTACAAGAATATGAAATGAAACTCAGGTAAAATTATAAAACGAGAAAGGTGATGACTAATTTTAGGGTATACAAAAAGTGGGTGTGAATCTCCAGAAAACTTGTTTTAAAATATATCATATATTAGACATTAATAGTTAAAAATATTACATTTTATGTTTAAATAGGAATTTTTATTTAACCTTTGTAAGATGTTTAAGTTCTAGGGTTCCGATAAGGAAACAATTATAGAGAATGAAAAAATTATAAAAAAAATAGATTCCCTTTTTTATCAGGGATCCAAACCGTTATTTGTAACGGTTCAGTTTGGTTACGGTTCATGATGTAAAAAATTATAGTGGTTACGTTTTGGTTACGGTTCTTAAGAAGAAATTTATAAAGGTTCGGTTCGGTTCAGCTAATTATAAAGGTTTATAAAGGTTCATTACGGCTAGAAATTTTTTTTTTATTGAAGCAACACCATCTTATAATTTATTTTTATTATAAGCATCTATGAATTATATATAAAAAATTATATAAGATTCAAAATAACTCATTTTTAAATATATTATTTGAACGTATAAGTAAGTAATATATTTTCTAATATAAATGGATTCCATTTTGTTCGTTGTGAAGACAACACAAATTTTAGCCCCTAAATAGCCCTTTCTACAGAAATTTGTGTTGCGGGAACCGCCAGTACTATAAGAGCAAGTTTATAAAATTCTGGATATTCAAATTATTTTCATTTTTAAAATATAAAAACTGAACCGGTTTGACCGTTTTTTATAAAGGTTCTTTTTACTCCTTCAAAAAATAATTATATCGGTTCGGTTACGGTTCAGATATTTATAACGGCTTATAATGGTTTAACGGTTCGTTACGGTTCACTCCGGGTCCCTGTTTTTTATTTATATAATTAAATAATCAAGAAATATTATTTTAAAAATTAAATAATCAAGATAAATTATTTTAAAAAATAACTTGGGCAAAAATGGGTTAATAGAAACAATATATTAATTAGTATGAACAAAAAAATTTTTTATTTTAAATTATATATTTCAAATTTTAAATAAATAATATTATATTAAGAATATATTTCATATAAAGAATAACATTCTGATGTTAATTCAATGCTATAGAAATTTAATAAATTAAAAATACAATTTGATATTTATGGCATGAATTAAATCGGAAGGAATATAAATTATTGTATATTATGAAGTTAGTTTTAGTTAAATAAAACTAACATTTTCAGTAGGGGATTCTGAATTATCCTGCGAGTTTTGTCTAGCCGTCAGGGTTTGTCGATAGGCTACAGTAGCATAAACCGCGACGAGAAGTAAGACAACGGCGTCATCAAGAAATCCCAAAATTCCGAAAACAGCCTCGGGCAGTGCGTCAAAAGGCGAAAGGAGATATAGAGCGGCTCCCAAGAAACAAAGAACCATGCGGGCACGAAACACGAAAGCCAAACCCGATACCGAAAAGAATTCGCCTATAGCGTGACGTAAGAGGACAGGTAAATCACGGATGTAGTCCATAATCTTATTGTAAAAAATGAGTGTTAAAATGTTGCAAATATTTAGTAGAGGGTATTATGGATGAAGTTTCAATAAAACATTTATAAAGTTCATATTATTGGCTAAGGCCATACCAGAGTATTCTAATATTTGGTGCTCGTAGTGTTGTTAAATGGCTAAGCCAAGTAGACTTAGCTACGACTCGAGCCTAGTTTCTACTAGATAAAACGACTCCGACTGAGCCGCATTAGTCGGCTAGCTTAGTATGCTCACTTAGTGAGCTTAGAACATCCGCTGTTGTCTTTGCCACTGGATTCGCCAAATAATCCTCAATCTCTTCTAAAGCAGGATTTATACACAATATAGGCATCTCTATATACAAATAATTAGAATTAATTTCTATATTTACCTTCTCAACATATACAATATATTAACCGAGATCAAATTAGATTCGGTATCCTCGAATTCATATTCCTGAGAAGAAGATGATTGATAACTACTAAATAAATTTTTCACCCTTTCATAATATCCCACTGTATTAATAAAACTAGGCAGAAATATCTTATTGACCCTTGGATTAAGAAAACTACCTACGTAGTTTTCAAATTTTGTCATATGCGACATATAAATAGCGCATTTCTCAAGCATCTTCTTCGAGTCCATTTTAATAGCCTCAATTTAATGATAGGCAGCCTGCCTATCTAACGTTCTATAAATTTTGTCTATATATAGAATTGCCATCCCAATTGTAGGGGATTTTTCTGAACATATTCACACGTAATTTTATAAAAAGGGTATAGAAATAATTCTAGTTGCTTTAAAAACGCAATCATCAATATTTAAAGAAAAATTTTCTTTCCCAAATCCTTGACAACCTGGATATGTTATATAAAATAAAATATTATTATAATACTTTATTAATACTAGGTAACATTATTACTATTCCATCTTGTTACCACATCCATTGGAATTCGGGCACCGCTAATATTTATATACTCTTGCATGTATTTCGGATTTTATGTAATTTTTTAACAAATTTTTCCACCATAATAGCTCTTTAGAAAAGGAATCTAGCCCTTCCTTTACTATAATATTTATAATGTGCGCAAGGTATCTATGATTATTAATACCTTTTTTATATTTTAACTGAAAATTTTCATTTATTAATTCTAAGGCGACTAATATATTAGAGCCATTGTCATGGGTGATGGCTAAAAAATTTTTTTCTATTTTAAAATTTTTAATTGATGATATAATTAGTTCATAAATATCTTCACCTTTGTGAGGGTAAGGAAACTCTAAAATATTTAGCAAAAAATTTTTCAATACCCAGAATCATCAATAAAATGCACGGTTATTGCACAATATGATATCGAATTTTGTGTCCATATATATCTGTTGTTAGAGAAACTAAGCCCTTGACATTTTTTTAAGATTTTTATTATGCCATCTTTGGCGCTTAAGAATATATTCGATTCGCAGTTTGTCGACAAACTAGCTTTATATTTCTGTTAGCGTATTTGAACATATCTTTAAAAGTTTCACTCTCCAAAATATTAAAGTATAAATTATTCCTTATGAGGCATCTCAAGACTAATTTATTCATATATAGATTTTCGGTATCAGATAATTTCTGGCTCCGAACAATGAAGACATCAATACATTTGATGGACAATGCTCCCGGATGTATAGACATATGCCTTCGTAAATTTGCTAAAAATATTTGTATAAGTACTTGAAGATAAATATAAAATTTGAATAGGGAGTAAAACATATTGAAAGTTTCGAAATATTAAAGATAAAGATGGTAGAAAAACCTATTCTAATTTAATGAGGCATTAGATATTATTAGACCTGTGCCCCGCCGTGAATTTTATTTATGCAGGAACAGCCGCCGATTTCATTCCAGCTCTAATTATTTATGTTTTTTAAATTTCTATTTAATGTAAAAAATAAATATGATATCTAATGAATGTTTTGATGTGCAGCTTAGATTTAATCCCATTTGATTCTATAAAGAATAAAGGAATAACTGATTTTCTAAAGTATTAAAATTAAAATGATTATTAAAAAATAAATTGTCTAAGATATCTAAGATAATTGATTCCTCGTCAGATTAGAAAATACATAAATGAATATTGGAGTGAGACAGGAAATAATTTAAAAAATGAATTAAACTTTATTAACAATGTGTTAGAAAAGAGCGCCCAAATAAATTATAATTCATTAAAATTTAAATAAATATCGTGCCATCACCGCCGACAATTTAGTAGGGTGGCAATGAAATAATTATAAAATACCTCCGCCGTCGATTGAGACATCGGCGAACAGGTCTAGATATTATATTAGCAGTAGATTCATCTAATGAAGGTTTAGATGATGTGGAGAAACCATTTAAATTAAAATTATTTATTTTAATCAGAGTCGCTAAGTAGAGGGCTATCTTTTTGGTAGTGATGGGTAGTAGCACGATAGATGCAGACAAAGATGCCCTAGTTAGAACCATAAAAACTACTTTGAAATAAAGGATACCAATATAAGTGAAAATGCCATTTTTATGTATTATATATTATGCATTTACATTATAAGCAAAAAATAAAGCAAATTTATTTCTAAATTTTTTTTTATAAAAAGTAACCTAAAAAGTAGCAACAGCTATTTTTAAAAAATAGTAGCTAATAGCAGCCCTACATTTTTTTGATGGGTAGCGATCGCGCGCTACTTTTAAAAATAGGGTTTAACAACTCAGATTTTAATTTGGTACTTTTATTGAATTAATATAATATAAAATATAGGTAAAAATTATGAATGATTATTTTTAAAAAAATATACTTGTCGCCGTACTAACACGATACATTTTTTGGCATAAAGAACATTTCCTATGTCTTTTTTTTTGGAGTATGGAAGAAATAATTCTTATTATTAAAATTATCAGAAATGTTCATCGAATCTTCCCTATGCATTTCCAACATTGAACTACCACTAAATAACTCAGTATGAGTCTATATAAAATAACGGCGGGGCACATGTCTAATAATATCTAATGCCTCATTAAATCAGAATAGGGTTTTCTACCATCTTTATCTTTAATATTTAGAAACTTTCAATATGTTTTACTCCCCATTCAAATTTTATATTTATCTTCAAGTACTTATACAAATATTTTTAGCAAATTTACGAAGGCATATATCTATACATCCGGGAGAATTGTCCATCAAATGCATTGATGTCCCTGATTCATTGTTCGGAGCCAGAAATTATCTGATACCGAAAATCTATATATGAATAAATTAGTCTTGAGATGCCTCATAAGGAATAATTTATACTTTAATATTTTGGAGAGTGAAACTTTTAAAGATATGTTCAAATACGCTAACAGAAATATAAAGCTAGTTTGTCGACAAACTGCGAATCGAATATATTCTTAAGCGCCAAAGATGGCATAACAAAAATCTTAAAAAAATGTCAAGGGCTTAGTTTCTCTAACAACAGATATATATGGATACAAAATTCGATATCATATGAATTCTGGGTATTGAAAAATTTTTTGCTAGATATTCTAGAGTTTCCCTACCCTCACAAAGGTGAAGATATTTGTGAGGTAATTATAGAATCAATTGAAAACTTTAAAATAGAAAAATTTTTTTTAGCCATCACACATGACAATGGCTCCAATATAATAGTCGCCCTAGATTTAATAAATAATAATTTTCAATCAAAATATAAAAAGGGCATTAATAGTCATAGATGCCTTGCGCATGTTATAAACATTATTGTGAAGGAAGGGATAGATTTCTTTTGGAAAGAGCTAGGTATGGTAGAAAAATTTGTAAAAAAATTACATAAAAGTCCGAAATGGATGCAAGAATTTATAAAAATTAGTGGTATACACGAATTCCAATGGATGTGGTAACTAGATGGAATAGCAAATTCATAATGTTATCTAGTATTAATAAAGTATTATAATAATATTTAATGTTCGATAATATTTTATTTTATATAGCACATCCAGGCTATCAAGGATTTGAGGAAGAAAATTTTTGGAGAAGAAAATTTTAATTTAACTATTGATGATTGTGAATTTTTGAAGCATCTCGAAATATTTTTATATCCATTTTATAAAATTACATGCAAAATATGTACAGAAAAGTCCCTACAATTGGAATGGCCATTCTATATATAGATAAAATTTATAGAACGTTAGATAAAATTAAAAAAAATATTATGGTTTTCTTAGTACATCTTCAATAAAATTTTATTTAAACATGTTAGCAATGCTTATTTTAGCCCATTTACGTCATATTAATTCGAAAAACTTTAAAAACAACGATTATGACAACACTTATCTATGGTACATCTTCACTAAAATTTTATTTAAACATGTTAGCAATGCTTATTTTAGCCCATTTACGTCAAAAAAATTCGAAAAACTTTAAAAACAACGATTATGACAATTGTCACTTATCTATGGTACATCTTCACTAAAATTTTATTTAAACATGTTAGCAATGCTTATTTTAGCCCAATTACGTCATAAAAATTCGAAAAACTTTAAAAACAACGATTATGACAATTGTCACTTATCTATGGTACATCTTCACTAAAATTTTACTTAAACATGTTAGCAATGCTTATTTTAGCCCATTTACGTCATATTAATTCGAAAAACTTTAAAAACAACGATTATGACAATTGTCACTTATCTATGGTACATTTTCACTAAAATTTTATTAAAACATGTTAGCAATGCTTATTTTAGCCCATTTACGTCAAAAAAATTCGAAAAACTTTAAAAACAACGATTATGACAATTGTCACTTATCTGTGGTACATTTTCACTAAAATTTTATTTAAACATGTTAGCAATACTTATTTTAACCCATAAACAACATATTCTTATTATAATTTTGTTCACATTAATCATTTTCCCAAAATTTAGCAATATACCAGATTTTATAAAAAAACAAAAAAATTGAGCAGACCCAACGAGTCGAATACACGAGCCGACTAAGTGAGCCGACCAA